GCGAGAGTTACTCGGTGAATTTCTTGAAGATACGAACATGACTCGGTGAAATTACTTAACATGTATTATGACGCATGGCTTCGCATAAAAACACGCATGCATGAACATTTAAACATTTAATGAACATGATATACTTGGTCATATACTCGACGGAACTTACCTCTTATAAACTTCGGAGGCTAAGCTATTCAACTCCCGAGCTCTCGGCTGTGACCTTTCCCGTGTGCGAGCGTGCGTGGCGTGCAATGCGTGCGAAGCCTAGTGCGCGTGCTATCGGCCTTCCGCACTCTCGGCAATGCTCTCGAACAATTTGCACAAAAACTCACTAACTCTCGGCACTCACTATACTTAGAAGAGAAATGGAGCAAAAGGGACAAATCTTCCCCAAGTCTCCCTTATATGCCGAAGGGTGGCGGAGAAAAAGAGGGGAAAGGCTCACGTGCACCATCAAGCCAAATGCCCGGCCAATATTCTCTTACATGCACGGAAAATACCATAAACTTCGGTTACTCCGCCCTAGCCAACAAATTGCACGGATACTCACGGGTAAAAGGAAAAAAAAATGCGCGCGGAATCTAAGAAGGAGGGCATCTTGACCGCATCCCACGCGCATGGCGACCTCGGACGCTCCGCCCGTGCATACGGACAAGGAAGGGCGCGGATACACGTGATGATGTTGGGCGCACGGACACATGCAAGCCTCGGATACTCCGCCTACCTTGTTCGCGCGGTGCATGGACGCGGATGGTAAACTCGCGCGTATGATCTTCTCTCGTACAAACACGCGGACGCGTACGCGCACGAACCGATGGACCGAGACACTCGCACGGGTACTCGCGCACACATGACCACGAACCGAACATGCACACGCACGGCATCGAACATGAACTCGGAATAAAATCCGAACCATTTGCTAATCTCGTGATTAAATTAAATTAATCACTTAATTACGTTTAATTATCTAATTAAACATAATGCTAAATTACCAAAATTATTTCGAACGTAAACGGTACGTCGAAAATAATTCCGGTAATTTTGACTGAAATAACTGAAATTAATAACTCCGAAAAAATAATGTCGGAACTGAAATATTATTATACTGATAAAAGTCGGGATATTACAATGTCTATTCAAGCTAGAGGTGGTTTTGAGTATTTCGTTACTTTCATTGACGATTACTCAAGATATGGGTACATTTACTTGATGCGCCGCAAGTCTGAATGCTTTGACAATTTCAGAGAATTCAAGGCAGAAGCGGAGAACCGTCAAGGGAAAAGTATCAAGTCACTGCGATCTGGTCGTGGTGGCGAATACCTTAGCAATGAATTTAGGCAATACTTATTAGAGAATGGGATTACATCCTAGCTGACTGCGCCTGGTATTCCTCAATAGAATGGCGTAGCAGAGAGGAGGAATAGGACTCTGTTGGAAATGGTGAGATCGATGATGAGCTATGCTTCATTACCTACCTCGTTTTGGGGATATGCCTTGGAAACGGCGGCGTACCTTCTTAACTTTGTACCTTCTAAATCAGTTCCGAAAACTCCAATAGAATTGTGGTCCGGGCGCAAGCCCAGTTTAAACCACATTCGGATTTGGGGCTGCCCAGCACATGTGTTGGATAAGGAAGCTGATAAGTTGGCACCTAGAACAGAAGTACGGCTGTTTGTAGGTTACCAAAAGGGAACGAGAGGTGGTTACTTTTATAGTCCTAAAGATCGGAGGGTAGTGGTTAGCACCAATGCTCGATTTTTAGAGGATGACTATATGAGTGAGCATAAGTCCAAGAGTGAGATTATTCTCAACGAGTTGAGGGCAGACAATGGCATACCGAGTGTGCAAGATGATATACCACAAGAGACTGCACAACATGTTGACTCTGATGTATTTACACCTGAATTGCCTCGTCGTAGTGGGAGGGTTGTTTGTCAGCTCGATTATTTCATGTTTGTGGGAGAGTACCCAGACTTCATCCTAAGTGACGAGCATGATAGTGACCCCTGTACCTACAATGAGGCAATCCAAGACGTAGATGTAGAATCTTGGAAGAAATCTATGGATTCTGAGATTGAATCTATAGATGCTATGGATGTCTACGACCTTAGGGACCTTCCTGAAGGCAAAAAATCCATTGGGTGCAAATGGGTCTATAGGCGTAAGAGAGGATTTGACGGGAAGGTTATTTCTTTCAAAGAACGGTTGGTTGCGAAGGGTTTCACTCAGAAAAAGGGAATCGATTATGATGAGACCTTCTCACCGATAGCCATGCTTAAGTCGATCTGGATTCTCTTATCCATAACAAGTCACATGGACTATGAGGTTTGACAAATGGATGTCAAGACAGCTTTTCCTTAACGGAAACTTGGATGAAAACATCTATTGTTGGAACCCATGAGGATCTCGATATGCACAAATCACGGACAAACATTCAACATAAACCTATGCGCAGCGGATCTAAAGGTTTGATGTAAAAAACTTACTGCTTAAAATTTATGTAGATCTGGCTGGCCCGAACAGTTGACCGCAAATCAGATATTCTCGGAATCGAACAAACTTGACCAATCCAGAAAGCTGACGTCACGACAAAGTCAACAGCATTGACCGGTCAGAAAATGAAGCTTCCACGCGCTCTCACGCGCGTGATTGAGTTCCAGTGGCTGCTCCCTTCCGGTGGCGCGTGGCGGCGCGTGCGGCGGCGGCTGGCGGCGATCCCGACGGCGATCTCTTCGTCTCGTCGTCCTGGTCGTCGTGGTATGGTCACTTGCTGGTTTTGGTCTCCGGTTTGGATGTATGATAGATCTGATTGGAATCCCGTATATACC